GAAAGATGAGGCTTTCTGCTCCCGTAAAGATTTACAGCCTTGGAAACCCTGTACAGGGTCGCTATGGGTCGGAACCGACTCAACGGCACTTAATAACAACAACAATCTAAGGAGCTGTGGGCTAATGCATCAGACTGCAAAGTTGTTTGAATTGCAAGGTCGGTGGTTCCAGCTCACCAGCAGCTGCTCCTTGGAATAGACTTTACAGCACTTAACAACAACAATCTCTGCTCCCTACTGCTACCAGGTCCACTCCACTCATTGAGAAAAACCCGCTTCTCTCTCTAAAGCAATACTTTTGCTTTGCAATAAAGAGATTCTAAGTGAATGCTTACTGTTCGTGTATGACTGAGAAGCGGCGACTTGGTGGGGCTAATTCTTTAGACCCTCCCAAGAGCGAGAGGGACCAGGGAAAACACGTAATATTGACACAGCGCAGACTCCCACCTCCACAACCCCACTGCCCTAGTCCCCAAACTCCCCCTGGGGTCCCAATGGCGGCCCCCACCCTTTCCTGATCCCTGACCGCGCGGAAAAGGACGCTCTGGGGTCCAGAATCACTGGGGACCACGCTCCATCCGCTCACTCCCGCGGAGCTACGCCAGAACTCGCGCGGGTCCCGAATCCTTCTCCTTCGGTCGCCTAATTATTTCTGGGCCACGTGGTGAATTAACTCAAAAATCCATTGTGTCCTGGAAAGTCTTTTTAAACACCCTCACGGCCGGCGAGATTCACCTGCTGTTCCTTGGAAGCCTTATACCCGGTCGCTATGAATCAGAAACCATACTTAAAAACAATACACCAACTGTGTAATGGTCTTCGGTGCCGTACTCAACGTCAAGGATGCCTCGAAGACAACTGTGAAGTCACTACCACAGACGACTTCCGCATCACGACATAATCTCGCGAGATCACGTAAATAAGTGTTTCCGGGGGTGTGGATGGACTCCCTAAGGGATACCGGGATTAGTTTACCTTTTTCTGCTGAAGAGCAGATCAGTTTAATGGGGTCAAAGTCCGTGCCATAAACCATCCGTAACGGTCACATAGTCCCTGCGGCGTGATGCCTGCGCATCCCTGTGCTCCGCCTTATGGAAAACGCACTGAGAAAGCAAGCTCCAAAGTCAGAACTGAGACCATCAGAAAGAGGTTTTATTGACTATGCAAAAGCATGACAATGTGTGGACCATAACAAACTATGGAAAACATCGCGAGGAATGTGAATTCGGAAACACTTCATAGTGACCCTGTACAGGGTTTCTGAGGCGGTAAATCTTTACAGGAGCAGAAACGCCTCATCTTTCTT